CTATTAAATTTACATCATATACTAACAAGTACAAACAGTTTAATGCTTTAGAATGTATCAATGTATATATTTCATGCAACATTACAAAGACAAAAATAATATTTGAAAAAACGTAAATGTTACTACTCGGGGGAATATAAATGCATGCATGTTTTATGTATTATAGGCCTGTGGTCTCTACAGTACGGAATAAATATTGACTGACCCATATGACGCAACCATACTATTAGTCTAGCATCACATGAAACGATGAATGTTCGCCCACATTTTGACAGTACCTGACAATCTGAACTGAAATTTGAAAGAGACAAAGAAGAGGCAAAGAAGGATTTGCATATCTTCTGTTTCGAAGTTACAACTAATGATAATTAGTAAAAAATGTTTAGATGAAATAATGGCATAGCAAGAAACTACCAAATGTTCATTAGACAAAATTCGTCTAACAATACACAATACCTTTTAGAAAGTGATCAAATACAACAAATACTATGTTTGGGTTAAACGTTCTCTGTAATGTACAGATTCTAGGATTTTGTTTTCGGTTGAGGCCATCAGGATTCGAACCCACACTCTCAGACAAAGCTCACTTTGTGTTGGCGACTCGGTGCTTAAACCAGATAGTGTGGGTTCGATTTCCGGATGGGCCTAAATCGAAAGAAAAAAATATCATTTCATTTAAAAGACTAAACTGGTTTTTGAACCATACATTAGAACCCCTTATTAACCTTGTTTTGTTCATGTAATTAGGATCATGCATGGAAGTATTATCACTGCTCTCATTTCACTGGTCTGATTATGAAACTAATACAGTTATAGCTGAACAGTTCCCACGCTGTTTTAGGTTATTTAGAGATGGTTGGTTGGTTGTTGTTGTAGTTGATGTTGTTGTTTAACGCCTCACTCAGCAATATTCCACCTTCTACACATTTCCAAAGCATGTACACGGCAAGTTAACGATTTCGCGTCCTTCATCAGTGGATTATTTCCGAATGATATAATGCATGCCAGAATTGCACGACGCCCAATATCAGCTTATCAAACGGATGGCAGTTACAGTCAGTTTATCTTGCGATGTACATGTACATGTATGTTCTGAGTTCTCGTGTTTATAGGCTAAGTTCGATTATCTTACTAACAATCACATTTAAATTACCAATATTGTAAACAAGCTTTTGTCAATCAAGTAACCTCAATAAGCTACATTTTTATATGTTTTCAATCACGATTTATATCTTTGATGTTGTTATATATGCTGTGATTATGTTAACAATGCAATCTATCTCAATCTATCATTCAGATTTTTTTTGCATACCCTCTCATATCTGGGTACTGAAGCATGAATCAACAACGTATGTGCGTTTCATAAACATATCTACACAATTACTATCCCATTTTAAGCCCCTCTACATCAGCCTACCATTAGAGACCACATAATCGATCTCTGCTACCATATAGGCCTTTTCAGCCTTTTAATAATTATCATATCCAAGTTAGCGAGAATGCGTATTCTGAAAAGATGTTTGTGCCGCTTTTCCTTTTGTGCATGAAGCGGAACCGTAAAGAATATAGTTGCCATAATAAATTGACGTTACATGACTATTATTATAATGAAATATCTCTGCTGTTCATTAGTTTACAAAAGCGACAAAATCTTCTCCATAGGGGAATCACTTTTTTATGTGTTTCACGTAACCACCAAATTCTGAACATGGGCCGGTCAGTCCCGGAATAATGTTTTTAAAAAAAAAAACCAAACTAAAAAAAGACAAAATTATGCGAATAATGTTCTTGATTCTCATTTATTGTAATTCGTATTACAATTTCTCGCGTTCTTTGGACTTGTGGAGCGACTGATTAAAACAGTTTAGATAGATAACCATTTTATATGACGAGGCGGTACGTTTTAGGTTCGAGTCGGCGGTGTTGGAATAGAAACAAAATAAAATAAGAAAGGGTCGGTCGGGGGATGAGAAATACAAAAAATGAAAATGCTGCCCTAATTATAAGAACTATACCCAGAAATGCATGCATTCAACCTCAGCAAAGACGCAAACGGTGATGACCCGGTCTTGAGGAAAGTGGGACACACATCAAAACTCATTTCGACATTTCTAACATCAGTTAAGTATTGAGACCAGAAGGGATATAAATACTGAAAAACATAAAAGACTATGTTGTATCCCACTTTCTCTTAATATGCCCGTCTTAAAGTCAGTTACGTGAAAATTATATACCCATACCTATGATATAACGTATTACTTATATCCTTCTAAATCTAAGTTTAATATCCTTACAAGGGGCGGTCAAAATGTAGAAAAATGACAAAATGCAGCTGTTTTTACGTTACATGTTTCTACATATTAACACTGTCAACCTCAAGCAAATTGGTTTTGCTATGTTCCAGCCTCGCGATCTCCAGTTTGTTTGACTTTAAATCTTGTTGGATCCGTTCATGGTGAGACCGGAGTGAATCTCTTCGGACATATACAGCAAGTTACTGCAGATCCCGATAAACGTGTTGTAATTATGTCCAGGGACATTTAATATGAGTATGTGGTACGACCAGAGTCATCCAGTGATTTGAGTATTAGGTAGCATTGCGAGGCAATTTGTTCATCGAAATACAGTAGCCTGCGCCAATATAGCATTCACATAAATTATTGAGAGGGTTGTTTCGGCAAATATCTAATACATGTATAGAAACTATACAAGTTTTACTTAAATGAATAATATGTTGGGATATGATTCTCTTACAGTCTACGTGTCTTTTCAGTGCTTTGTGAGATCTCCTTGCAATGCAATACACGACTGAATGCGCCTAGGTACGCTACCGATCAAAGTTTGTAGGAAATCGTGTGACAGCGTATCCAATGTCTTCATATCCTCAATACTTCTAAGTCCTTTTTTATTTATTCCGTCCTTCATTAGTCCCCACACATTAATAGGGTTAAGATCAGGGCTGTAACTGGGCCAGTCTAAAACTTTAACATTTTCGTCCGACAACCACTGTTTCGTGTAGCCCGCAGTGTGTTTTGGGTCGTTTCCATGCTGGAAAATCCAAATATCTTTCGGGCCGTTTTCGGGGAGATAACTCTTGATGTAGTAAGGTTACCTTACAAACTGTACCTTATAGCCCTTGGGGTAAAAACAAGCTGGAGAAAGGCCTGTCGGATTCTCTCAAAACCATAGCATTGTTTGTTGTTTTATCCATTTTGAGAAACCATGTACACATTGAATGCTGTACATCTTCAATAATTTTACAATATGAGGTGCTCCATACTGAACCATAAAACACAATAGGTACACTCATACCTATCATTAAATATCTTAAATAAATCTTGTCATGGTATGTTGTCAACTTTCTTTTGATACCTGTAAAATATCGTAATAGCTTTGTGCAGCAAGAGTAGTTAGTGCTTTAGTCCATTTAAGTTTAGGTGTGAACACAATACCCCCAAATCTATGAAAAGACAGTTTCGAGATACACACAAATTTATTTCCACTTTTCATAATGTTTAAGAGGTCCACCATTTCTGAACACCAGAACTTTAGTTTTTCAAACAAAACTGTTGTAATGCAGAAATCGTCTTCTGCAAATTTGGAATGATACGTCATCAGCAAACATTGGTGCATATATTGCGGGACAATCTTCAGATATCTAGATGGTTTGTCCTCCATACCCTTTTCAAAGAATTCACAAGTCTTTGTATGAATATTAAAAACATCAGTGGGTTCAGGATGCATCTCTGACGAATACCTATATTGCACGTAGATTATTTTGATAACCTATCAGGTGTTCTAAGTCAGACACAAGAGCATTGAGGTTATAATAGACAAAAGCTTCCAAACAGACACCAATATCAGCCAAACACTGTATTATGATCAACATTATCAAAAGCTTTTGAGAAATCTGGAAATAGACAATAAAACCTGCCTTTCTTTTTGCAAGCATAAGTTTGGATAATAGCCAGTAGTGAAATATCTGTATGGCATATATCTATATATTATCTACTGTGGAATAAGTGGGTCTAAATCCAGCTTGAGATTCAACAATGATATCACACCTTCTCTGTAGTCTGGCGTTAAGAATCGATGTAAACACTTTGCATATAGTGTCGATGAGAGATATACCTCTATAATTGTTGGCATCATTTATATCATCAGACTTAAACAGAGGACAAACGATGCTCTTTCCCCATGTATATACTGGAAAGTTACCACTCGTAAGATATTATAATTAAAATTTGAGTAATTTCCTTTTCAGCCGACTTTAAAAATTCAGCAGCAATGTCATCAAGTCCAGAGGAACCTTTATTCCCAAGCTGGTTAATGTGGCGTGTTACTTTTTGTTCTGAGATAGGGGTGTTTAATGTCAGCACACTGCCGTCAGGGATATGGTAAAAACTGCTATCGAGTGCAACACGTTGCCTAAAGAGAGGGGACAAATGTTTAGTCAACTGTTCAGCATAGTTAATTGTTTAGTGTCCTTAAGCAGTTTCCAGAACAACTTTGGTTTGCCCCTTGAGGCTAACAGTTTTTCACTCTGTGCTTCAAAAACACCCAAACTTTGGTGTGGCGTTAAACAATAATCACTATGTCATTCCTTAGAAATAGGTGGGTTGAACCTATACAACACAAGCATGAAATGTTATAATGCCGTGTAAATGTCTTTTGCAGTGTGTCTGTAGTACAACATATCATATACCTGTCATAGTGACTAATTCAGGACAGCTATCGTCCAAATGCCGAGGGACGACAGCGAGCAGGAAAAAGCCGCTCGTAGGAAACGCCCTGAGTTGAGCTGGAACCCCGTTCACCTCATTTATGTCTGAGCTGGCTATACAATACATGATAAATAAATACACAAGTTACCCTGTCGATATATCTACAGGTGGACATACCCATCACACAGAACGATAAAATGTCTTGCGCCACTCGTGCAAATTGTCTCCTTTTTCATCTTCTATTTCCTGTATAATCAAAATACAAAGAATACTCACGTTTGCTTATGTTGGCTTGTTTAGTATATTTTGGTGTACTTTGGTGATGACATTGAATTCCCTTTTCTGAAACGGAGACGAGACGATGTACAGTGGACTGCATGCAGGGATGATGTCCGCTCTTGCATGAACGAATGCAGGTCCTGTGCAGCTTTCACTTGCACGCTTGAATCCACATCGCTTGTCAGTGTAACCGTCTGAGCTTGCATATTTTTGAAAGGACATGCGGTTGAAGTCTCTGACTGGTCCATATGTATGCTAAAATCTCTATTCCAAGATTAAAAGTCCTAAACGGTACAAAAAACCAAACGTTCTGCATTTAAAATAGTCGTACTAAGGATTTCCCGGGCAAAAGGGAATGATCACTTATAACGTAATTGTATAAAAAGCAAAAACGCTGTTACAGGTTTGAATCGTGCATTTTTCAAAAGGTTAGGAAAATTAATTGTGGCACATTGGTCCAAATGCATCTAAGGCTTCATCTCAACCACCACTTTGTCAGGCTTCATTCCAACCGACAGTTTGTAAGGCTTAATTCCTACTATCACTTTGTCAGGCTTCAACCCTACCATCACTTTGTCAGGCTTCATCCCAAACATCACTTTGTCAGGCTTCATCCCTACCACCACTTTGTCAGGCTTCATCCCTACCACCACTTTGTCAGGCTTAATTCCTACCATCACTTTGTCAGGCTTCAACCCTACCATCACTTTATCAGGCTTCATCCCTACCATCGCCTTGTCAGGCTTCATCCCAACACCACTTTGTCAGGCTTCATCCCTACCACCACTTTGTCAAGCTTCAACCCTACCATCACTTTGTCAGGCTTTAACCCTACCATCACTTTGTCAAGCTTCAACCCTACCATCACTTTCTCAGGCTTCATCCCAACCACCACTTTGCCAGGCTTCATCCCTACCCTCACTTTGTCAGGCTTCAACCCTAAAATCACTTTTTTCAGTCTTCAACCCTACTATCACTTTCTCAGGATTCATCCCTACTATCACTTTGTCAGGTTTCATCCCTACCATCGCCTTGTCAGGCTTCATCCCAGCCACCACATTTGTCAGGCTTCAGGTGAAGTGAAGAACATAAAACGTTTGCGTTCGGGATCATTATTGATCGAATGCATTAGGAAACAACAAGCCACCAACCTGTTGACTACAGAAACATTTGCTGGAATCCATGTTTCAGTTACTGCGCACAGAACACTGAACACCAGTAAAGGCATTATAAGAGACAGAGATCGTTTGTTGGCCGAAATGTCAGAACTGGACATCGTATATATACAATGATGATTCAAGCACTTACCTTCAACCGGAACCTATTCTTCTCTAGATCTGTCTCTTGCAGACACTAACCTCCTAAATGAATTGATTGGTCTGTCCATAGTGACCTCTGTGGAAGTGACCACTTCCAAACTATTCTTTCAGAAATAACTCCATCTGATTCTCCATCATATACACGATGGATTTTTTCGAAGGCTAACTGGTCCTTATTTCAAACTATATGTAAATCGAAATTACGACCTGAATGCTTCAGTAACGTAACTGATCCCATTCAGATTTTTGCTGACGTTTTAAAGGAAATAGCCGACGAGTGTATACCGAAATCCTCTACAACTCCACACGTACGGAAACCATGGTTTAATACAGACTGTTGACAAGCCAGAAAAGCGAAACATTATTTCCGCCACCATCCAACTGTCAATAATTTAAATAAATTCAAAATACTCAATGCGAAGGCACATCGTCCCTCCAAACAAAACAAACGACAGTCTTGGAGGAAATATGTCTCCAAAATTAATTCACGCACGCCTATGTCTAAGGTGTGGAACATGATTCAGAGAATAAAAGGCAAAGGTTGAAAATCTGCTGTTCACCATCTTAAAGATGCTGATAACTTAATAACTGACAAATCTAAAATTGCAAATAAACTTGGCGAAACTCTTGCCAAACACTCTTCATTGACAAATTATGTCCCCGAGTTTCAGAGATATCAGAAACAACAGGAAAAGACAAAACTTAATTTCGAATCAGATAACGGTGAAGATTACAATGAAGTGTTTTCATTACATGAGCTACATACAGCTCTTGAGCAAGCTCATGGCACTGCAGCGGGTGATGACAATATACATTATCAGCTCCTGAAACCCTTGCCTGAACCATGTCTGATGACACTTTTAGATATATTTGACCAAATATGGACGTCTGGAAATTTTCCTCCTTCGTAGCGTAATGCCATTGTAACCCCAATTCAAACACCTGGCAGGGATCATACGGATCCATCGAATTACAGACCTATATCTCTAACCAGCTGTGTCTGTAAAACCATGGAACGAATGGTAAACAATATATTAACTTGGTATCTTGAAACCAATAACCTTATAACAAATATCCAATGTGGTTTCAGGAAAAATCGTAGTACCATTGATCATTTGGTAAGTTTAGAATCCTTTGTTAAAAATGCTATAGTAAATAAACAACATGCTGTATCAATTTTCTTTAATCTTGAGAAAGCTTACGATACGACCTGGAAGCATGCCATTTGGAAGGATTTACATGATTTTGGTTTGAGAGGCCGTTTGCCTCTTTATATTTCGCAGTTTTTCAAAGGCAGGCAATTTCAAGTCCGAGTGGGTTCTACCCTGTCTGATCATTACCATCAGGATCAGGGTGTCCCTCAAGGCAGTATTTTGTCTGTCACTTTATTTAGCATCAAGATCAACAGTTTATCCAAGGTTTTAAACGATTCAATTGATGGATCACTTTTTGTGGATGATTTTAATATTTCTTGTTGTGGTAAAAATATGCATACTATTGAATATAAATAAATAGTGTCTTGAAAACGGCTTTAAATTTTAAGTCCAAAACTAATTGTCTACACTTTTGTAGAAAATATAAGCCGCATAAAGATCCAGAATTATCTTTAAATGGCACTACGATCAAAGTTGTAAAAGAGGCCAAGTTCTTGGGTCTAATTTTCGACTCCCATTTAACTATTTTGCCGCATATTAAATCCCTAAAAACTAAATGCCTGAAGGCCCTTGATTTGTTGAAAGCTGTTTCCAACTCAAAGTGGGGAGGGGATCAAGCTACCCTCCTCCACCTATATCGATCATTGGTCCGCTCGAATCATCGTATATGGTGGGGCCTTCAAAAGCAACCTTAAACTACTTGATTCTGTCCACCACCAAGGCCTAAGACTTTGTCTTGGATCCTATAGAACCTCTCCTATTGATAGTCTCTATGTTGAGGCTGATGAGCCATCCCTTAACCAACGTCGTATCAAACTATCATTACAGTATACAACAAAACTCTATTCTAACGAGTCTAATCCTGCATTTAACTGTGTTTTCAATCCTCTTTATGAGGATTTATACAACAAAAAGTCTTCTCTTTTTCCACCTCTTGGGCTCAGAATTATATCATTCATTTCTGCTGCGGCATTGAGCTGGAAAATATATCTCCTTCCCGTCTTCTTTCTTCTCCTCCTTGGCAATTCGCTAGGCCACAAGTCGACCTAACACTCAGTAAATTTAAAAAATCTGAAACTAATGACTTACAATATAAATAAGAATAGTATCAATTAAACAGTAAATATAATACAAATAAACGCTTATTTACAGATGGGTCCAAGGATGGTGGCGCGGTTGCTTGTGCCACTGTCATTGGATCCAGAACAATATCTTCCCGATTACCAAATACTAGCTCTATTTTCACAGCAGAAGCTAACGCCATATTAACAGCTCTTAAATATATTAATAAACACCGCAAATATAAACAATACATAATCTTTTCAGATTCTCTTTCGTGTCTTCAGGCTATCAAAAATCTTTCTGGTAAACATCCACTTTTAATAGAAATTATTGAATTGTATAATGAGCTTGCTACTAGCCAACGCGACATCGTCTTTTGTTGGTTACCCAGCCACATTCTGGGAATACAATGGCTGATCTTGCTGCCTAGGCAGCACTCAATAAATCTGTGACACCACTTCTTATTCCATACTCTGATTACAAAGCTAGCATTAGAACTTACATCCGTGATCTGATGCAAAAGAAGTGGGACACCCAAGTAGGTATTAACAAATTACATGAAATAAAACCTTATATTGGTTACACCTACTTGGGTTGTCAGTCCAGATTTGAGGAGGTCATTGGCCATACGCGTTATACTCACAAATACCTTTTAAAAGGTGAAGATCCTCCGTTTTGTATCCTTGTGATGAGAGAACCACGGTCAAGCATGTCCTGCTTGACTGTGTTGAATTCTCCATCATAAGGGATAAATATTTCAATGTAAAAACAACGAAGGATATTTTTACAAATGTTAATTATCATTTAATTATTCGTTTTTAAAAAGAAATTGATTCGTTTGATGAATTCTGATTAATGCGTTTTGTAAATAGATACATTTTAAAGATTGGTAATTAAGATTAGTAACTTAGATTGTTAGTGGCTGTAACCTTAAAGTACTGTAAAATTATTGTCCTCCTGAGAGGGTACGTAAGTCCCAAAACTTTCAAAGTAAAATGTAAATTTACCATATTTTAAACGTAGTATCTTTGTTCTTTTAACTGCCGGCTACATTTTCCTACAATCGCCAGCAACTGAAGGGATAGTGTAAACCCAGCTAGGGTCCATGCAGGTAGCAAAAGAAATGTAAGTCCCCATGTTTCGTAGTATATATGGTGATCTACCTTCAGTTGTTGGCGATCTATAGCCCGTGTTTTATACTGTATTGTCCTCTTTAATTGAAATGTTTTAGCTTTGCTCGCTATTTTTATTCATATCTGTGATTCTCTTGTATTTTTACTGTCCATCGTCGACAGGTTTTAATCTTCAAAATGTTTTCTCTTTATATTATATAATTATGGTTTTCGTCACGATATGGAAGAGATATTGCCAATGTGACGTTAAATATTAACTTACTCACTCACTCACCCAACCCTACCATCACTTTGTCAGGCTTCAACCCAGCCACCACTTTGTCAGGCTTCAACCCTACCAACAGATTGTCAGGCTTCAACACTACCACTACGTTGTCAGACTTCGTTACTACGATCACTTCGTCAGGCTTGATCCCTACCATCACTTTGCCAGG